CCATGACGGCGGCGGCGACGCACCCGATGCCCATGATGGAGACGTACGACGGCGTCAGGGTCTGCAGCACCAGGGGAAGAACCAGCGCCGCCTCGTCACGTTCAAAAGGGGACGGAGAACCGTATGATGTCGCGTTCCAGTCTGAAGACAAAACGTTCACGGGCCTGTCAAACGGCACCTCACTTTCAATTTCAACGGTCCTTCCATCCGTTTCAACAGCGCTTATCCTGAACAGGGTCGCTGCTGGAGCCTATCCCAGCTGACTATGGGTGAAAAGCGGACTTACACTCACCTATAGCACTTTCACATTGACGTGAAACTTTCACACTGAAATATAACATTTGCAAACTGATGTTGGGAAGGTCTATATGCGTCACTGCATTTGTCTGTGTAAAAGGGGCAAAGGTTAGTGTGAAAGGTCTGTGCTGTATGTCAGTGTGAATGGTTATTATTTCACTGTTTTCTGTGAAAGGAAAGGTGTATACCAGGGGTGTCAAACTCATTTCACATTGTGGGCCACATACGGACTCGGTAGATGTCAAGTGGGCCAGACCATTAACATTATACCATACTGTGCTACGAATCACCAAAATATCATCTCTTTCCTTTGTTTTGGTCTCAAGAAGCATTGATTGGCGCTTTCATATCATTTGCTGCGTTTACTGCTGTTTTCTTCTCCGATCAAAACAATGTTGTCTTTTACTGTGATCAAAACAATGCGCCCCCTATCGGATAATCCACGAATTGCATTTTATTTAAAATATTCATTCTGTGTCTTTAATGCATTTTTTTCACTTTTAAATCATCCCGCGGGCCGGATCAAACCTCCTTGGGGGCCGGTTCCGGCCCGCGGGCCGTATATTTGACACCCCTGGTGTATACGTTTGGATTATACATCAGTGTGAAAGGTGTATCGGTGAGTGTGAAAGTGATATATTTTTTACGGACAAACATTAGAACTGATGTGTGCCTCGTCGCCACAGCCCGTCTACGCGTCGCAAGGTTTCAAGGCGCTCTCACCTGTGGATGCCCCCACGGCCCCCAGCAGCACTGGGGGGATGCCAAAGATTATGATGAGAGCGGCCGAGATGAAGCAAAGGCGCTTGGCGGTGGACGGGGACGATGCAGACAGCGTCCTCTGGTGGAAGGACTGATATCCCAGACTGCCGAAAGACTGAGAGGGAACAGAGGCCGACACCCCACCACCACCACACACACAGCATAGTACTTGTGTGCCCTGCAAACGAGCATGTTACTCACTCATTGTGTGTGTGTGTGTGTGTGTGTGTGTGTGTGTGTGTGTGTGTGTGTGTGTGTGTGTGTGTGCGTGTGTGAGTTTGCGTGTGTGTATGCATGCGTGTTTGTCCACGTGTGAGTTCCTCCACTCACTCACTTAATCACTTACCAAGAAGAAGTAGTTATCCATGAGGATCCATATGTTGCTGACGTTCCAGTCGCCGAACCAGGGCGCATGCAGCGTGTTGTTCATCATCGTGGAACCGATGGGCGCCACGTGAGGATTGGACACTGCGAACGGAACGCACAGCCACTATACGAACGTACACACATGCACACACACGCAATTAGTGAGCAAGCGGTCAGTCTGTGAGTGAGTGAGGGGTGACGGGGTGTTTGCCACCAGGCTGAAGAAGATGAGGATCAGCTGGATGACGTCGGTGTAGGCCACCGAGTAGAGGCCGCCCAACAGCGTGTACGTGATGGCCACGCAAGCCGAGATCCAGATGCACACGCTGAACGACATGTCCAGGACCACGCTCATGGTCACGCCTGAAAGCACGCACACACATCACGCTATGTTACGACGGGGACATGCTGCACATGTGCTTAGTGTGTGTGACAGTGCGTAAGTTTTTCGGGGGGTTTATGTGCGAAGGAACGCGTGTGTCAATGTGTCTGCGTGGCACGATGTAAGCTTGTGTGAGTGCGCATTGCGTGCACATCACCCAGGCCGGTGAGGGTGGAGGGGACCCAGAAGACGTCCAGCAAGAGCGAGGTGCAGCTGAAGACGGCCGTCAGGCCTTTGCCGTACTTGCGCTGGAAGGGATCCATCATGGTGACACATTGGGTTGCGCGCAGCGGCCCAGCGAACGCCAGCCCGCCTGGTGGAGAGCCAACATCATCTTGGCAATCAGCCGTCGGGAAGTATCACACGTTTCTCAAACACACATTATCCTCTCGCATGGCCCTTTCACAGCCACGGTGCTGAAAAAAAGTTCTGCTGAATTGACTCCATTTTATTTTGCAAGAGGTTGCACGAAATAAAATCATCTGGATCCAGGTACATGTTTTAAGTTGAGTCGACATCTCCTGCAAAAATCAATCTGCAAAGGTGATTCTAATTGATGCAGCCAGTTGACAAAATAAAATGGAGTCACTTTCTATCTGGGAAGTCTGAAAAAGCTGGACTGAAAAGTATTAGCTTCCCACTTTTAGTTTCACGGGGAAGCTTCGACAAATTCAACCTCGTCCATGCCGCGGTGCATTGAGATACAAGTTGAATTTTTTTTTAATGATCATACTTGTAACACAATGCCAGCCACCCGCCCTGAAAAACTCATTTTTGTCCTTTTTTTTTTTTTTGTACTTTTTTTTTTCCACAAGGAGAATAGCACTTGATTGATTATACATAACAACATTCAACAGAACATGAAGAAAAGAGTTACTTTTATCTCAAAGCACCACTGCATAGCCCTTTTACATTGATTAAGTATGTTTCTGTCCCGGGCCAAGATGCTGCCTGACCAGCAGACAATGCCATAATGGATGGCCAAAGACACCACCGAGTTATCGAAGATCTTTAGGAGTGACCCCTTTACTTACCAATAATAAAGGATGAGCTGTATCCCAGAGTGACAGCGATGGCCCAGGCTGCGCCCATGGAGGGTGTGTACACCATCTCGGCGAGACCCACGATGAAGCCGCCTCCGACCCACGTGGCTTCGGGAAGGAAGAACAACAAGCACGCTGACTCCGCGGGGGAACCTCACCCCCACCCACCACCATACCAAAAACAAAAAAAACACAAAAACAACAAGACGGAAAGTTGCGTGGAAAGATGCTCACCTGTCATGGTGAAGACCCCCACCAGCGGGCTGATGCTGCGGTTGCCAAGCAACGACATCTCCAGGGTGCCGCTCACCTGCTTGCGCTTCTCCCTCCTGGACTTGACAGATGCCCAGATCCCGATACCAAGGACCAGTGCGTAGAAGAAGAGCATGGAGATGATGCCCGGAATGTTGGCGGCCATCTCGGACTGAAAGACACTCCTCTGCAAAAAAAAAAAAAAAAATGGCATTTTAGTTTCTTCTGGTCATCCAAACTTTTGCTGCCACCAACAAATATATTCGTCAAGTTCTTTTTTTTTCAACGGAGGGTGTGGAATAGCGTCCTAATGTAGGCAAATTCCACGTGCTGTCGTTTTCCCATGTCCAGTCAAGCTAATTTTTACAATCTTGGAAAATGTAATTTTTTTTTCACAAGAATAGATGTGCAAAGTGCACGACCGAGCGACATAGAGAGCAGCTCTAGAATAGTTCATCTTTTTTAAAAATGATTATTGACCTCTGAGTGCTTTCGGTTAATTTTAACTTCCTGCCACAAAAAGACCAAAAAACAAGCCACTAATTTTAGCCTCATAACTTTTCACGAATTCAAAATAAAAATGAAAACGAATCCTGAACAAATGTAATTTAAAAACACTGAAATCGGGGCAAGCAGCTCGGTCGACAGTGCTGGTGGCACCTTTCAAAATGTTTCCACTAGGGGTCAGGAGCACAAATTAAAGCGAACTAATCGGAGTAAAAGAAGAAAAAGTGTTATTGTGATTGGCTCGTTTCAAACTGGGAGCGCCATTCCGTTTCCTTGACTGCTGTTGTCCTGTTCTGATGGGTGCGAGCGTTCTTGTGTGACGTTTGCCTAATTTTGCGGACTTTTCTTCCACATTTCTCTTCGGATATATCCTTCTGCTCTATAATGTGTCAAGGCGATGTACCAGGTGAGTGTGAAAACTTTCGAGACGCTGTCGTCTTTTTGCGTCCATAAAATGGTTAAAAAAGTAAGCTAGTTTTTTAGCAGTTGTGCGTTTGCAAATGACGTCACTTTAGTGTGTTGTACCAGGTTGGCAGGTTTGTCGCAAAAAAAAGTTTGATTTGTGGCCGCCGAGCAAGACCTTCGAGATTTAAACAGTTTTAGTAAACCTATGTTGTTGGGAATTAGTTTGTTCAGCAGACGACCATGCAATTGTTGTTACGATTGACTCATCTGTAGTTATTTTAAAATGAACATGTCGTGTTTAAATGTTGATCAGAAACTATTATTTTCCAATTGAAATGTTTTGAAATACCATTAATGTGTTCCAGTTTTGTGTTACCATTTTTGATGACGAAGAAAAATAGCGCAGCACTGTGTAAAACATAAAGAGAATTTCACGGAATTAACTTGTTTTATAAAATCTAATTGTCCTGTGTGTATGTCCGAGTTGTAGTGTAGTGGATGTGTGCCTATAAGGGGCGTGGCCTCGAACGTGAAATCAGGTACAGTACTGGAGTTGGAGTCTTTTTTTTTTTTTTTTAGTTGGAGTCAATCCTTCCGAGTACTTTCATTTTCCAAGTGATGCTACAAGTGATCGTCATTAGTTGGATCACTTGTAGATGGAAGTACCACTGTAATGCGTCTTCTGCACCCATCTTCCGCGTTAAGCCAGTGATGTTTCGTGACAGCAGGTAGTGAAGTCAAATGCTCGTTGGCTCACTGCCACAAGGTGCCATAAAATGAACCTGCGTATCCATTTTTGATTTGTTTGTTTGGTCTGAGGGTTTTCTCATGTCAAATTTGTGTTGTGGTAAAATAAAAATGAGCAAAAGCTGTGTTTTAAGCACGTGTTCATGTTGTGACAGCATGATGGAATCTTGTCCGCTTGACCGGGAAAACCTCAACAGTTTATGGGCAGAAAGCAGCAGCAGCAATAGCAGCCTCCTCAGTGACTCACAGCTGACTCAGGTACTGACCGGACATGGACACACATTCGCTTCAGGGCACTTTTAGACAACCAACAGACTGGTTGGCAGTCAATGTCAGAGCTCATGTTGACAAACGCGCATTCGCACTCACATTCACCCCTCGAGCCAAATGAGATTGTGGACTGAAGCAAAGATGTTTTGCAAATGTCGGAGGAAAAACCCATTCGGCGCAAGGGGACAAATCCTCACAGAAAAAAGGTTCTGAGGCAAGATTCAAATCCTGACTTTCACAACTGCGAAGCACACTTGTTAACCACTGTGGCAACATGCTGCCCGCATCCCGGTCGTGTAAGGAAATATCAGACGAAGCGGAACACGTTTGGACCGCCATTGTTCATGCAAACTTCTTTTTAGTTAGACTCATTCTTTGTGTGGCATCTGCGCATGTCTGTGGCTGTGCGCACGTGGTGCGGTACGGTGCAGCCCAGCAGCTCGGAAGACAGAGAACACGTGAAGGTCTACCTCCGCGTCCGACCCTTCACGGCGACCGAGGCCCAGAATGGAGAGTCGCAGGTGCACGCAAGCATTTGGCTGCCGAAAGCTGTTGTCGCGGACGCGACTTGTCAACGCACATGTTTGTCTACAGGACTGCGTGTCCGTGGAGCCTCCGGACACAGTCCTGCTGAGGCCTCCCAGCGCGCCGCCGACGGCTCGCCTCAGCTCTGACAAATGGGACAAATCCTTCCTGCACACCGGTCAACGCTTCCGCTTCTCTCAGGTCAGCTTATGGAACACTTGAGCTGTACATGACAGCACCACGTAGCCGCCTGGCACGCGTACACAATTCCACATATTCTTGCGTCACCGTATGCACGCACATTTTCTCTGATAGACACCCGTTGAAATGCGAAATAAAGAGCGGACACCAGATGCCGGTTTTTGCATCTTTTATTCCGATCGCCGTCGTGTCTGATTCGGACGGGGTGTCTTCAAAGATGCGTTGCATGGCATGCGCCAATATTAGATTCGGTCAAAATGATATACCGGTCATAATCATGGGCAAAAATATCGCCGGATCACAGTATTAACATTACAGTTCCATCATTCCCTTTTTGGGTGTGGTAAATTAAAGCATTTTTTTTCCCAACAGAATATAGATTTTTTTTTCTTTTTAACATGAAGAAACATGTACCATGTTACCACATTCTGTTGTGGAAAATTGTTGTTATTGTTGTTGTTGTGCAGGTGTATGGTCCAGACGCCACCCAGAGGGAGTTGTTCCAAGGGACGGCCAAGGATCTGGTCCAAGATGTTCTCCACGGAGGGAATTCCCTGCTCTTTACTTACGGGGTCACTAACGCTGGGAAAACCTTCACGTTTTTGGGTACGCCTCCAGTTCTTCTCCCCACTACGGCGGACGGCTCCTCATGCGTCCGGGGCTCCCGTCAGGTCCGGATGGCGACGCTGGCATCCTGCCCAGGTCTTTGGACGCCATCTTCAGCAGCATGGAGGGGAAGGTCTCGACCGGGCCCAGCATCAAACCCCAACGCTGCCGAGAGTTCGTCAGTCTGAGCGAGGAGCAGCGGGCCGAGGAGGCCGCCTTCAAGGACAACCTGCTGCGGCACTTAAAAGAGGTAACGCCCTGGCCGGCTTCTTGTCACGACCACGTCGGCGCCTCTTGAAGCTCCCGTTTGCTCTTCTAGAGCGACAAGGCCGGCAGCAGCGTGGGGGGCTCCAGCGGCCCCATGCGCCTCCAAGGCAAGTTCTGGCCCCTTCTTGCATTTTTGGGTTTATTCCATTTACTTTTTCCATTTTTCGCAAAGCTTGTTTTGAATCATGTCATTGTCATTTACAAAAGCAAAGGGGAAAAAGATTAATTACAACGAAAATCCTCTGAAGTTTTCTCTGAAAAACCTGTAAAGTGAACTCACGCATTTGTTTCTCTTGTTTCGGCAGGCTCGTCGCTGCACCGGCAGACGGCGGAAGACCACCTGAGCCTCCAAGTGGAAGCTGACAGCAAGTTCTCCATTTGGGTCTCCTTCTGTGAGATCTACAAGGAGATACCTCCGCGTCCGACCCTTCACGGCGACCGAGGCCCAGAATGGAGAGTCGCAGGTGCACGCAAGCATTTGGCTGCCGAAAGCTGTTGTCGCGGACGCGACTTGTCAACGCACATGTTTGTCTACAGGACTGCGTGTCCGTGGAGCCTCCGGACACAGTCCTGCTGAGGCCTCCCAGCGCGCCGCCGACGGCTCGCCTCAGCTCTGACAAATGGGACAAATCCTTCCTGCACACCGGTCAACGCTTCCGCTTCTCTCAGGTCAGCTTATGGAACACTTGAGCTGTACATGACAGCACCACGTAGCCGCCTGGCACGCGTACACAATTCCACATATTCTTGCGTCACCGTATGCACGCACATTTTCTCTGATAGACACCCGTTGAAATGCGAAATAAAGAGCGGACACCAGATGCCGGTTTTTGCATCTTTTATTCCGATCGCCGTCGTGTCTGATTCGGACGGGGTGTCTTCAAAGATGCGTTGCATGGCATGCGCCAATATTAGATTCGGTCAAAATGATATACCGGTCATAATCATGGGCAAAAATATCGCCGGATCACAGTATTAACATTACAGTTCCATCATTCCCTTTTTGGGTGTGGTAAATTAAAGCATTTTTTTTCCCAACAGAATATAGATTTTTTTTTCTTTTTAACATGAAGAAACATGTACCATGTTACCACATTCTGTTGTGGAAAATTGTTGTTATTGTTGTTGTTGTGCAGGTGTATGGTCCAGACGCCACCCAGAGGGAGTTGTTCCAAGGGACGGCCAAGGATCTGGTCCAAGATGTTCTCCACGGAGGGAATTCCCTGCTCTTTACTTACGGGGTCACTAACGCTGGGAAAACCTTCACGTTTTTGGGTACGCCTCCAGTTCTTCTCCCCACTACGGCGGACGGCTCCTCATGCGTCCGGGGCTCCCGTCAGGTCCGGATGGCGACGCTGGCATCCTGCCCAGGTCTTTGGACGCCATCTTCAGCAGCATGGAGGGGAAGGTCTCGACCGGGCCCAGCATCAAACCCCAACGCTGCCGAGAGTTCGTCAGTCTGAGCGAGGAGCAGCGGGCCGAGGAGGCCGCCTTCAAGGACAACCTGCTGCGGCACTTAAAAGAGGTAACGCCCTGGCCGGCTTCTTGTCACGACCACGTCGGCGCCTCTTGAAGCTCCCGTTTGCTCTTCTAGAGCGACAAGGCCGGCAGCAGCGTGGGGGGCTCCAGCGGCCCCATGCGCCTCCAAGGCAAGTTCTGGCCCCTTCTTGCATTTTTGGGTTTATTCCATTTACTTTTTCCATTTTTCGCAAAGCTTGTTTTGAATCATGTCATTGTCATTTACAAAAGCAAAGGGGAAAAAGATTAATTACAACGAAAATCCTCTGAAGTTTTCTCTGAAAAACCTGTAAAGTGAACTCACGCATTTGTTTCTCTTGTTTCGGCAGGCTCGTCGCTGCACCGGCAGACGGCGGAAGACCACCTGAGCCTCCAAGTGGAAGCTGACAGCAAGTTCTCCATTTGGGTCTCCTTCTGTGAGATCTACAAGGAGAACATCCACGACCTCCTGGAGGCCGCCCCCGGCGGGGCGGCCAGGAGGACGCCCCTGCGCTTGTCTCAGGACGTTAAGGGAAACACCTTCGTCAAAGGTCGGCGAGCGCCTCGCTTGACGTTCTCTTGTTTAATTAAAGAACGTGCGACCGTTGCTAACGTTTGTCATCCGCACGGCAGACCTGCGCTGGGTGCAGGTGGACAGTGCCCACGAGGCCTACCAAGTCATGAAGCTTGGCAAGAAGAACCAAAGCTTCTCCTCCACTGGGATCAACCAGCTTTCCAGCAGGAGGTGTCCACCGACACGCACGCATACACACAAACGTGGACGCTCTAAACACACGAAACAAATATCTCAGCCTCACGGCGCGATATCTTCAGGAATTGTGTCATAATAACTGACCAATTCAATCAAGAGTCATTCACTGACGTCGGCAAGATGAACGAATCGGAATTGCCGGAGCAAGTCCGGCCCCTAAAACGCACAAGCCCAGACACATTTTCGAAGTAGAAAAGTACAAATTGATATACACAGATTCGTACATATTTGTAAACCCAAACGTCTCAGATTGTTGTGACTCGACCGCATGATTTTGTTTTATTGCAGTCACAGCATCTTCTCCATCCGTATTCTAAGGATGAAGGATGACCAATCTGCCCGAGTGGTCGCTGTCAGCGAGTAGGTGGCGTGCGGGCCGACAGCTAACGCGTGTACGTGCCGCTAAAAGTGCGTTTTGTTGTCGGTGCGCAGGCTGTGCCTTTGCGACCTGGCCGGCTCGGAGCGCTGCGCCAAGACTCAGAACTGGGGAGAGCGGCTCAAGGAGGCCGGAAACATCAACACGTCGCTGCTCATCCTGGGGAAGTGCATCAGTGCCCTCAGGCACAACCAACACGCTAAGTCAGTCGCACACAAAGACACAGCGCGTGCCCGCTTGCAATTTTGGGAGAGGTAGTGTCTTTTGAGAGAGGGTAAGAGTCAACACAGACGCGTGTGTCTGGTCAGGCTGCTGCAGCACGTCCCTTTCCGCGAGAGCAAGCTGACGCACTACCTGCAGTCCTTCTTCTGCGGCCGAGGCAAAGTGTGCATGATGGTCAACGTCAACCAGTGCGCGTCCACGTACGACGAGACGCTCCAAGTCCTCAAGTTCTCCGCCCTGGCACAGAAGGTGAGAACGCTCAGAGCCGCAATGTTTTTTTTTTTTGGTTTTTTTTAAATCACTGATTATGAATGCTCACTTTTGCGGTGCATCTAAGGGGGGCGCCTTTACTTGTCCTTCGCAAAGCAATGTGGAAATGAGAAGGCTGGTTTTGTCGGTTTCCGTTTCTGGAATTAGAGTTGCTTTTGGGGGGATAAAGTTCCTCAATAAAGCATCCACAAGTATGCAGTCAGCAGTGCATGTCAGCGAGGACGCGCTTTTATCGACACAAGTCACAATTTTCTTCGTGTCCTTCCAATTGAAATGGGTGAGTGTGCGCGTGGTGTTCTCCAGGTGGTGCTTCTACCCAGCAGGGCCGCTCCCTTCCCACCCCGCAAGCCGCACCCCAACAAAGGCGCCAGGAAAACGCTGCGAGGGTCTCTGACTGGCTTGCAGAGCGCCCTGGAGGATGTGCAGGTGAGGCAGGAGGAGTGGCCAGCGCCGCCTCGTGAGTCCTCATTTTGGTCTCCTTTGCCTAACATGTGAGCCTTATCATCGCCAGGAGGATGATGACGATGACGAAGAAAAGACAACAGTGGAGGACACCGTCTATGAAAGTGAGGAGGAAGACCTTGGAGAAATCGAGGATGAAGTCATCATCAGTCAAATGACACATCAGGTTCGCCAATCAAAGTATCCTTTCTTCTCTCCAGCCGAGTATTTTTAACGAGCAAAAGGTGTGGGAGATGAGCTTCATTGCCCGGCAGATGAAAGGAATTCTCAGATGCAACTTCCTTTGCTTTGTTTTTCAATCCAAAGAAAAACATTAATCATTTTTCAAAGTTTGGCTTGGATCAAAAAAATACAAAATGGAAAAACAAGCCCAACGAAACAGATAAAACGACTCATGTTTCGAGTTTTATATGAATGCCAATTGCAAACGGAAAGAAGGAACGACACCCATGTTTGTGGCCCGGCGCCCGCAATGAACAATGTCCTCTTCAGCAGCAGGTGGCGCTGTTGAGACGTTTTCAAATGGCGCTGAAGCAGGAGCGAGCAGAGAGCATGCTGGTGGAAACTCACGTCAGAGAGGACATTAGCAGAGAGTTCAGCCAGATCTTCGCAGACATGCAGAACGACTTCACGTGAGACTTTGTTGGCTAATGCTGGGCGGGGAGGAGCAGGGTGGGAACGTCCTCGCCTCCTTCTGTTTGTCTGGACGTGAGCCTGGCGAGAAACAGGGTGGGCGGCCCCATCTTCCAAGGACGTCGAGGTCAAGGCGGTCTTGCTCTTTGCCCTTCGCAGGGAGCGGCTGGCCAGGGAGACGCAACTCCTGGAGGAGCGAGCGGAGAAACGTCTGGAGATATTCAAGATGATGACCAACAAGATGGCCGCCTGCAGAGAGGCTGAGGACCACGAGGTGAGGTGCCGAGGGGAGCTACAAATATCGCTTTACTGCCTTCATAAATCATTGAAATGGAATCGTGAGGCTGCTGACGAGTACTGGCCCAATAAGGCGGCCTGATTCTCAGCCGGGATGTCCACAAAGAAATCGACCAACACCACGCCGTTTCGCCACACATCCCTCACTCATGGATTCAAATAATTTATGGGGGGTCAGAGGGGGGTCTTGTTTTTAAACCAACCAGTGTGTGAACCGCCTGTTAGCTTCTTGCTAACATGTCACAGAAAATGCCACTGACACGCCAATGTTAGCATAGATAGTCGCAGTCAAACAACCGCAAACGGTGCAGCAACACATTTAGACAAATAACTTAACTGAAAAATCACAGGTACATATTTATCCTCCTTCCGTTACAGGAACTTGCTGAGAGGAAGTAAGGCTATCGTTCTTCAATTCTGTCTGCATGTTCCCAACTTAGCCACCGGGAAGAGCAGCGCACGGAATTGAATTGCAGCACGATCCACAAACCCTTTCATTCATTTACATTCGATTTAATGATGCCATTGTGCTCTTTTTTAAAAAAGTACCATATTATAAAATGACATTTTTCTTTACTTAAAACACACACACAAACCAAAAAAGGGGGGCAATCCCTGATTTAGCCTTCAGCCTTTGACCCTGCCGTTTCTCAACATTGATGCCAGGATCCGAAATATGTTTTGGACGCGCTCACAAGTATGCTTTTCCTCCCCTTCCAGGCGTCAATGTCAGCGTCCTCCTCGTCTCAGCTGGAAGACAGACCGACGTCGGATGGGCCTACACTCCAGCGCAGTGTGATGAAGCCGGGTAAGCTCGACGTGGACTGTGGAAGCTCGGACGCCACCTGGAGTTGTGATCCGTCTTCTATGCATTCACACACACACGCGCGCTTCCTGTTGTCCGATGAAGGTGAGAGCAGTGGGGCAGAGGAGGAGAAGACGAGGCTTGCGGATGAGCTTCAGGAGAAATGTCGGGCTCTGCTTCAGCTGGAGAAGCGAGTGGCTGAGCTGCAGGCGGAGGCCGAGCGCACCTCGGAGGAGAACGCCTCCCTCTGCCGGGGGAAGAAGGAACTGCAGGTGAGGAGTACTAGCGGAGGTGGTTGTGCATGCTCCTTCGGGGGACGGGCAGGGGTGGTGGTTGTTGAGCGGGTATGTGTTGTTGAAGCTCGTTACAGGACATGGAGGTGAGGACCTCCTGATAGGGCTGTGCAATTAATTGAAATTTTATTACGATTTTCTTTATTACACTCTATGATTACAACATTGCTTTATTTATTTATTTATTTAAAAATTATTATTTTGAACACTAGACTTTGCTATTTGACTTGGTTACAATGGATGGTGCATCTGGTCACATATGACTCAATCAAACCACGTCCTTTCTTCAGTCTAGTGGTTCAGCTGTACCCTCATTCTGAAATGTTCCCACCTGAGCTTGAGGTTGGCATTTCAGCAAAAACTGTCATTTGGCACCACTATTTCTACATTGGTGCCTGCAGGAGGCGCTAACCGGCCTTCGTGAAGAGCGAGCCACTCAGGAGGACGCCATCAGTGCTCTGGAGAAGAAGCTCCGAAACACAGAAGAGGCCCTGCAGGAGGTCAGCAAATCCAGGGAGGAGGCCGACACCGCTCTGCAGGACCTGCTGCGCCGCCAGACGGAAGCGCTGGCGGCCCTGGATGAGGCTAAGGAAGCCCGAGAGGAAGTCTGGGTGGCCCGGGAGGACCCCTGCTCGGCCCTTGACGCTTGCAAGAGAAGCAGAGAAGCGACGCCGGAGCGGCAGAGGACCAGGAAAGAGGAAGTCGGCAGGCTGCTCGACGAGGTTCCGAGGCTGACTGCTGCACTGAAGGCTTCCCAACAGCAGGTGAGCTGACTGACATAAGCATCTCTCAGCAAGTTTGGCAAATGGGCATTCGGGGTGAAATTTTAGGATGAATCGAATATGCGCTACAAAATTCCGTAAGTGGGGGAAAAAAAATGGAGAGCATTATTTCTCACCAGAGACTGAAAGAGTCACCGAAAGGCATTCCCTGGAAATGTTCTTGGATCAAAAACCTGTTGAGAATTTTCCTGTTCTCAGCTCCTTGTTGTCAAATTGCAAGAGCTCGACCGTTCTATTGCTGTGGCATTTTCTCTTGCACTAGTCCTTACTTGTCCCGGCACTCTTCGGCACACTTCATCCTGAAATTTCGCGACCAAACCCCCAATCGCAAACTTCTGGTGATTGAGTTATGTCTGCCATCGACATCAGCGGAGGTGGTCGTTGCTATGACACCCGTGACGAAGATGAGTTTTGTGGAAACGAGCGCAGGTTGCCAATGAGATGTTGAGAGCAGAACAAGCGTCCACTCAATTGCAAGCTGCCCAGGAGCACATCACCGCCCTCGGCCAAGACCTCCGCGATGCCCTCGACCAGCAGCCCAGCAAAGCTACGGCCCGAGAAAGCGCGGCGAGCGAGAGCCGAACATCGGATCCGCTGCCCGTCAAAGATCTCGCCCGCGAGAAGCTCTGGTCGGAGCAGCTGCGGGAGAACGTCGGCCTACGCCATGCGGCGCAGGAGTTCCGAGAACAGCGCCGGATGGTCCGAGATCTCCGAGAGCGGCTGCGCGAAGGCCAGGAAGCGTCCGACAAGCAGCTGGAGGAAGTCGGCCGTGAACTGTGCGTACAGGAAGCGTCGTGTCGGCGCCTCCGGCAGGAGCTCAGCGAGCAAGAGCTCACGACAGAGCGACTGAAGAGGGAATTACAGGAAGCAAGTGCCGGAAGATGTGCGGCCGAAGAGGACCTCGGCAGGGCAAACGCAGCGCTTGCGGCTCAAGTGGCGTCCTCGAAGGCAGAGGAGGAGAAGACAGCGAAGCTGCTGAAAGATGAGGAGGTCCAGACGGAGCAGCTTCACATGCTGGCAACTCCGATCAAAGCGTCCCAGCCGCAGGTGAGCTTACATTTGTAATGTTACAAGTGGCCACCATCTTTGGGGATTTTCCAACAAGGAAATAAATCCAACCACAACCCAGCGTGACTACTTGGGAGGCTCCTCAATCCCCCAGAACAAATCCACTGACCACAAAAACCTTGGAAATGTTCAGGCCTGTTTGAATTTTGCCGTTCATCACCAGGCGGATGGGCCGAATGCGGACGAGCTGGAGAGCAAATTGCAGGAGCAAGAGGCGCAGATGGCGGCTCTGCAGAAGAAGCTGCAGGAGGCGCAGGCGCGTCGCGACGAAGACGATGTCCAGGCGCTCCATGAGTGTCGGCGGAGGGAGGCCGAGCGGCGCCGGGAGTTGCTGGCCGCGGCGCACGAGGCCATCCAGCAGAAGGACGCCGAGCTGGAGAAGAGATCCCTCGAGATCGCCAAGTAGGCCACCATCCATTTCATCAAGTCTTTCATTTCCGTTTGTCAAGCCCCATCGTGCTCTTGACGTCAAGTTGAGTTTGACCTCGCGGTGCATTCGCACAACTAGGTCTGCCCTGGGCTCACGTTGTTCACTTGTTGACATTTACATTTTGATTTATCTTCTGTTTCTGGGTTTGTTGATGTCCGTTGATGCTGGGGCGGGGGCGATCTAATGTAGACCTTGGTTGGTGTCAGCAAATCCAAGAAAGGGAAATAAAACAAACAGCTGAAGCTGTTTAGCATCACGTCATTGTCTACTTTTTCTATAAGAGGAGGGAAATTTAAATCAGGCGTTGGATTTCTTTTGGAAGAAAATGACAGGTTTTGTTTTTATTTGAAGGCCTTTTAAGGGCCCTTCTTACAGACTGCAATCCAGGAGAAGAACCAAGAGATGTGTGAAACCGCAGTCTGTGTGTGAAACTCTTTGCCCTAATGTTGTTGTTCCAGACTGAAGGAACTTGCCAAGCAGGACTCGGACAAAGTCCAGAGCCTGAGTGCGAATCTGCAGAGGAAGGAAGAGGACTCTTCCGACCTCCGAGAAAAGCTGGCCGACTACAAGAAGCAGATCCAGCAGGTCCACAAAGATGTACGTGGGACACCATCATGCAGTTGTTGTCCGATTTGACGAGGGGGGAATGACGGCGTTGATGGTTTCCTGCAGATCTCCAGCATGAAAGAGGAAGAGAGGCTCTTGAGACAGAAGCTGTCAGACGTGGAAAGGCTGAAGAAGCAGCTTCAGTCAGACCTCACAAACAGAGACAGAACGATCCAACAACTCAAGGCAGTAGGTTCCGAATCATTGACCACTCCCTGGTTGCACGACACAGTACATGTCGCGCACTATACTCAACGCGACAAGACTTTTCAAAGAACTGGGACCGTGTGTCAAATGACAAAGTGAATCTAGTTAGTTGCCTTGGTCGGTTCACGATGTATCCTGCTTCAGGCTTTCTCTTTCCCTTCCTGTAGGAGCAGCCCGCGGAGAGCAAGTGTGCCGAGACACTGCGGCTGTACCATGAAGCTCATCAAGGTGAGTACGCGACAGGATTGACATTTCCTTCTTGTGCTTTCCTGAAAATGACACATCATCCTCCAACAAATTAAAAATCCAGTCCAATCTGATCTTCTGGAGCACTTGCTGAACACTATACGGTGCCCAAAGCGCTCTCCACATACATACGTCACTCTTATTGAGCTCACAAACTGCCCCACTGTCGTGTGGTCTTCCACAAGGCTCAATCCTGGGGCCTCTGTTGTTCTCACTGTATCTGCTCCATTGTAAGGAAACATGGTATTTCCTTCCACTGCTATGCGGATGACTGTGAGATCCACTTTTATTCTGTCGAGAGGAAATCAAGACCTACATGGCACTAAATTTCTTGAATTTCAATGAAAAGAAGACAGAAGTGATGGTGTTTGGTCCCAGTGGCCCCTGTACGTCCCTCCCTGCGGACTTGATTAAGGTTGTCGCTTGCCACCTCGCACAGAGCTGGAGGCCAAACAGCGGCTGGTGGACGATATGCGCTCGGCTCTCGCCGAGCAGGAGGAGACGCAGGAGCAGATGGAGCGCATGCTGGATGACAAACTCCACCTTATCCAGGAGCTCAATAACGGTAAGACGTACGGGCAGAGCGGAACCATTTCCTCGACGGCACGACTCACCGAACCTTTTTCAGTGGACGGCTACTTACTGCAAAGTTTGATACACACTTCTGAAATCCCACGTTTGCTCAAATCACCCTCATATGTTCTTATGATATAGTCACATTTCCGAAATGGGCAAATATCCGCAGCTCTTTATTTCTACAGTTCTCTTTCAGTGTTTGTTTTCAAATTATCCCAATCATAGAAAATCACAATGACCCGCCACTGGCAAGCCGATTTTGCACCCGGCTTCCGAACTACGTGTACTCGGCTTCTTTTATTTTACGCAGCTGGCTGAAGTCAAGCCTCTCCTTTCTCAAGTGCAGTTTGAAACAGTCATTCATGCCTTCGTCACATCTTGGCTGGATTACTGTAATGTACTTGACTTTGGAGTCAGCCAATCCTCCATGAAGCGTCTCCAGTTGGTCCAGAATGCCGCTGGTCGCCTCTTAAGATGCTACTCGTAAGAGGGAGCTCATAGCTCCAACTCTGGCATCCCTTCATTGCCTCCCGATACATTTTAGAGTTCTTATTAAGATTCTATTAGATTTTGATTTTTATTATGATGATTTATTCATTTTTTTCTCCAAATCTTGAAATGACCTGGCCCCACCTGACCTCTCTGAGGTCCTCCGCACCTGCCCGGTGCCTTGGGTCTGCGGATCAGACATTTTTTTTTTATTAGAGGTATCAAGAACTAAGCGGAGGCTCAGAGGAGACGAGCCTTTTCCGTTGCCGGTCCCTTTCTTTGGAATGAACATTTGACAAGCCCCCTCGCTGCCCGTCTTTAAAACTCGTCTCAAAACTTCTTTCTATTCTTGGGCTTTTGACTCGACAGGACTCAGACTTGATGATTAGTTTGACTGTTTTTATCCTTTCTACTGTCTTTGTTCTTCATTTATTGTTTCATTGTTTATTGTTGTATATATATGATAGTTGCTCCATGTGCAGCACTTTGTATACAGTGATGGTTGTTTTTAAAGTGCTTGAGAAATCCGCTTGAGTTGAGTTGAGAATTGTACATTCTCTTGGAGCAAGTTACATAACTGACAATGGAAGTGGTCCAATGTTGAAAGTCCTTTTGAATGAACATTTGCGGTGACAAATAAGCAGCTTGTTAGTTATTCAGGAAAATCTGTAATCAGCCGCACGTTGTTGAAGCCTCAGGGAGGGTCGAGTCGCAACTTGTTGTCCAAACTTGCTTTGCAAAAATAATGAGATGACAGCACTCATTGCTGTCTTGTTTTTGCTCAGAGGTGGACAAAGTGAAGGAGATGTTGAGAAAACAAAACGCCGGCCACGCGAGCCAATGCGCCGAGGCCTTGTCACGTGACCTCCAGCTGGCCAAAGAAGAAGCCATGAGCGCTCACCAGAACATCACGGTAACCTGCGGGGAGTTATTGATTGACTGTTAAAGGGTTACAAGCTTCACTGTTTAACATCTGGACCACATGTAATGGACACACACACACACACACACACACTCACAAAAGATCTGCACTTCAATTGTTGGGTAAATGTTTTTTTTTTTGTTTTTTTTTTTAATGATCACTAATTCTCAAATGATAGCCATTCATTTGACGGTTTCATTTTGCTCTTTAAACTGTTTGCATATCGTTTGTTGAAAAGTAGTGCAGTCAAACTATATTTATGTTTGTTTAACACGGCGAATAATAAGGTGAACTTGCACCAGAGTTAAAGGTCCCCTTGGTACATTGCACAAATTTACAAAAACATGTCGCGAAAGAGTGAGCTTCCTTTTTCAGGGAATGACACCCCCCCAAGTGTTGTCGACCTGTCGGCATTGCAACCTTCCAAGTGTGAGTACCCAGAATGGTGGAAAAGTCTGCCCGGGTTCAGTAAAAATGAGATCGCGACCCGCTCTAGATGTTTCTTGATCAACATCACGGTGGAGTGATAAGCGTCAGCTTACCTTGTGCTGCAAAAGACCGACGGCAGATGTTTGCTGCTTCCGTCTTTTTCTTCAATAAAACTGTCCACGTCGCCGAGTAGAGCCTTCAGATGAGAGCGTCTGTCCTTCGGTTGTCACTTGACTGCCTTTGAACCATGCCAAGCTTCTCCGCGCCAATTGTCGCATGTCTCCGCCCCTTGTCAGCCATGCGACACAATGACACGAGAACAAGAGCTTTTAACCCATGACTTATTCCCGGTGCATTCTTGAGAACAATTTTCGACTGTCTTGTGACTGATTTCTCGCCAAGCTGTTTGAGGAGAAGCACCTGACGGAACGTCAAAAGTGGCAGGAGGAGAAGATGGCGCTGATTGGTCAAATCAAGGAGGCGGAGGACAAGCGCAACCAGGAAATGAAGAAGTTTGCGGAGGACCGAGAGCGCTACCTGGCCCGGCAGGCTGAGCTGGTGAGCTACCCTGGTCTTAAATCGGCATGGTCAAGAGTCGTCATGTAATATTCCTTGCATTCCTTTGGGTGTGTCTCCCCCCCCCCCCCCCCACAAAACTCTTTTTTGTGAGCGGTCGCCGCCAGAGGTCGGTGCAACCGCGGCCGCCACCTTTCTTTCGGGTTTGTCTTCATGCTGTGGTCAGGCCAAAGCCAGCTGAGCATTTCGGGTCTTGGGTTTCTGTTTTTTTTTTTTCACTAATTCAGTGCTAATTTGTTCCGAAAAGTCTCATTAATAGCAAATCATATGAAAACCAAAGCAATATTTTGCATAGAAACAAGTCATGAAATGGCTCAATGAACATGAAACATGACCTGGATCTTCTTTTTTTTTTTTCTTTTTTTTTAAGCCAATGCAAGTCATGGTCCTGCAGTCTGTTCGTGTGTTCTCGCTGTTTCTCCATTTATCTCTTGCTTTTGTCATGTTTCGCGTTTTGCGGTTTCACTGCATTGCCAATTATGAATTTGTTAATTTTTTTAATTGTACTTATGTTGTGTATTGTTTGCTATTTTGCAGTGATTGCTTTTCTGCAAAGTGATGGGCGGGAAAAAAATTTGTTCCAAAAACTGTGACTGTTAAAAAATTAGCTTCCACTGTAATCGCCGAGTAGAAAGCCGTCTTTGTCTTTTCAATGAGAAAAAGATTGCTTCCTCTTGGAATAAATAATTTGCCATCCCTCAGCGGACACTTCCTCAAGCGTGCGTTCATTAAAAGTGGCGTCGCTTCCTGCCCTTGACGTGACCTCGGCATCATCGTCATCCTTCTTCCACTTAAACATCTTCTCTGTCAGGCTGGCGGCGGCGTGGCGGAGACGGAAAGTCACGCGACATCGCTCAAAGAGGACAGCGAGCTTGCGGGTGGCCGACTGGATGACGCTGACGCTAAGGTCAGCGCTCGCACTAAAACTACACTGACAAGTGCAAAGAAAGAAAAAAAAACTAATAGAGTCAAGGTCGCTCGTAACTACCGTGTTTGCATGCAACATGTGAAAAAGTCGCTTTTCCATCACACGTGCCCTTGAAGACAATGTGTGAAATATCCTGGCCATCTTGTGCGGCTGTGGATAACGCGCCGCCCTCGCATCGCCTCTCAGGGATCGTCGGGGTGCCCGTCCGTGCTGGAATCGTCGGAGATCTCCACGGAGAACGGGCGCGCCAGCCGCTTCCCGCAGCCCGAGATGGAGATTTCCTTCAGCCCGCTGCAGCCCGACCGCATGGCGCTGCGGCGCCGGGGCGACCCGAGCGCCGTCACCGTCAAGATCACACGTTCGAACCGCAAGAGGAAGAGCGCCGACATGGACAAGGTAGGGAAACGCCCCTCTGACCGTGACCGTGGCGCCACATACAACGCAAACGTCACATTTGGGTACCACCTCTACTCCAATAAATACTCCCGGGCATATTTCCTTCACCCTCTATGAAAAGAACTGACGAAGACAGACGAGTGAGTCACTTGCACGAGTTGACAAAAAGGTCTGCTTCGAATCTGCAGTCCTTATACATTTTGTGTGAGTGTGAGTCTTCTGACCTACACTTAAAAAGAATGATGACTGTACGTGCGTGTCATCATGTTATTCTTCATTTTCCGTGTTCATGTTCCACTTCGGACATCAGAACTCACAGCCCGTGTTGCCTGTTTTACATGTGTGTACCAGGATATATTTTCTGTCAATGGATTGATTGATTGATTTATTTATTTAGAACACTGTATTTTCGTGTTTGGATTTTTTTTTCCACATAGCTTTTAAACAACTCTCACTTGCTTCCCCCCCCCCCCCCCCCCCCCCCCCCCAAATGGTCACTTTTTACAAACGTCCGACAAATCAACCCCAGGTATTTTTGGTTTGCCTTTATCTTTTTCATCACACCCATCTCAATAATCGCCTTCCCAGTAGCTGCTTTTCACTTTCAGCAACAACCTGTGCCGTGTCATTTATTCCTCATCACCACCATCATAACAACTCACACCATCTGCCAGTCACGACATGCAAATTCGGGGACATTGTGCAGGATGTTCCACATACAGATTTCATAACCTGCGGTTCAACCAAACACGCACACGCTAGTTGCACGAAGCAGAGGTCTTCCCGGTATCTGCTAAATATCTGAGGTCACCAACAAGGTTCCCTGAAGGACAACGTGCGTAGCCTGCAGGCCTGTTCTATAAAGAGCTCATCTTTGATGGGACATTGTGATTTCCCGGAAATGTGTGGGAGTGATCATTTGAGAATGTGCGTAAACACTTGCAGCAGTTTATGGAATCAAAGTCTTGCCTGTGGATATTTACTGGTTTCCTACATAAAGTCATTGTAGAGCAAGGGTCGCCGACCCGCGGCTCTTTCGTCCATATGGTGCGCCTCTGCTCGGCTCAGGAAAATGAATCGTCCGATTGATGGTATTTGTCTCAAAAACATGTCGCACGTCTGTACAGTTGGTGGCAGTGTTGCTATTAAATAAAAAATGGTCGAGATGAAAATGGAAGGAGAGGAGTTGTGTAATGGCGACTACAGTGAGTAGTCGCCATTACACACAGTATATGTGCCTGTATATCGTGGGCGGCCCGGTACAGTGGTTAGCGCATCGGCCTCACAGTGCAGAGGTCGTGGGTTCGATCCCGGCTCCGGACTTCCTGTGTGAAGTTTGCATGTTCTCCCCGTGCCTGTGTGGGTTTTCTCCGGGTACTCCGGTTTCCTCCCACATTCCAAAAAACATGCACGGCAGGCTGATTGAACACTCCAAATTGTCCCCCCGGTGTAAGTGTGAGCGCGGATGGTTGTTCATCTCGGTGTGCCCTGCGATTGGCTGGCAACCAGTTTACGGGGGCACCCGCCTACTGCCCGAAGATGGCTGGGATAGACTCCAGCGACCCTTGTTAGGATAAAGCGGATCAGAAAATGGATGGATGGATGGATATATATCTCGACGCGCAATCGCACGCTTGCAAATTTTTGGGACCTTCCTTTGAACTTGACTTTCCCTCTGAGTGCTTCAAGCAAACAGCGCAGAGGCGTGCTCGGAGGAGTTTGGGGGGGAAAAACAACAAGAGCGATGGCACCCACTGATATGTGGCGAGTCTTGTGAGCTGGCGTTGTCTGACCGCCCCAACCAAAACTTTGCTCCTCTCCGCACTCCAATAGCCATCCTGTGCACAAACAGCTCCAAATGGCGTGTGCTCGTCCACACGCATGGTGTTGTTGTCAACCATGATGAGATTGGCTGTGACCCACCAGTTGCTCTCCGCCTGTCGTTGGCCAAGAAAGTCCTGATTTTAGTTTGACTGACATCAGCTTATGTCCCCAATGCAAAAAAAAAAAAAAAAACAATTCTTTTGAATTGTCGACATCTTTGCTCACATTTTATTTTCACATCTCAACTCGCGAGCACGCACACGCCTGTATATTTAGCTTCGGAATGTGTGAACAGAAAGAAGACACATTAAGTGAAATGAATGAATCCATCCAAATGCTTGCTTGCGCGCGGTGTGTGTGTGTGTGTGTGTGTGTGTGTGTGTGTGTGTGTGTGTGTGTGTTTTTGTAGCGCCTGGACATCTGTGAAGTGTGAAATGAAACGAGTCATTCTGCGTGAATTAGCATAATTTCGCGCCCCCGCGCCGAGTGACTTGGCACCTCGGCCAGACCCGGCGGCCCAAGTGCGATCGTGTCCAAGCCAAAATGTAAGCAGAGCGGCAGTGTTGCCAGGGATTAGCATTAGCGCACGGCGCTACCAGCATGAAGCTTCCCTCTAATTCGACAGGGTTGACAACAACGATGTCCACGGAAGACCGTTGAAAATTCTGGGTACCCGTGACGCACTTTGACAATCGCGGAGCGGGCCTATTTGCTACCGACCTGCAAAGATATCTTTTAAACACATAAATAAATAAAAACTGGGTTTATTTGGATCGAACCGGAATTTACATTATCGCCTGGATGGAAGTGTTTCCGATATTGCATACTCGATTAAAGAAGGGAGGAATTCCCCCCCACCCCCACCTCCACCCCCCCACACCCCATCCATGCACCCCATTCATGATCATGTCACTGGAAGCTTTGCTGCCTTCAACATGTGCACCACCAAAACATGATTTTGTGTGTGTGTGTGTGTGTGTGTGTGTGTGTGTGTGTGTGTCAGCAGGATGAAGTGGAGGCAGAGAATCGAAGAAACGCTAAAGTGACGCCGACACTGAGCGAGCACCAAGAGGAGGTGATGAGCAGACGGACGCACGCACGCTTTTGCTTGTGCGGATGATCACATTTAGGTCACATGACGTCACAAATGTCATTCATTGTCTTGTCCAAGTTGCCTCCCTTCAGTTTTTTGAAGGCGCCCTCTCATGTTGAGTTGCACGAGCCAAATATTTGCCGCTTGGACGCACGTACCTCGGGGTCAAACGTTTCCAGCAGCTTTTACCTGATGTGTGGAGAAAAAAAAAAACCGGCCGACTTGTTTTGCGACTCGTGCTTTGCCTTCTGCATGCAAAACAATCTGCCAACGATTGCGCTACCGATTGCGTCTGTTTCTTTGCAAGTTGCTTAGTTTGCAGCCGCGTCGTTAGTGCAAGCAGTGCGCAGCGTCAACGGCAGAAGCAAGTGGCAAAGAGGAAAAAACAAAATTCATTCAGATGATTCGATCAAAGCAGTAGCCAGCAGCAGGTCCAGCACTGGAACGGTCGGCCGATGGCGAAACATCCCTTCAAAGGTTTTTTAATCCCAAGGTTTTCGTGCTTGTGCGTGTGTGTGTGTGTGTGTAGCAGTCCCGTTCGTTGGCGCCCTCTGGCTCCCGCATGGCCCGCACTCGGAAAGACGCAACGCTGCAGAAGATCGGCGATTTCTTGCAAAGTTCGCCCACCCTCATCGGTTCCAAAGGTGAGTCGACGGCCACCGCGTCCTCTCTCCGTTCCGCCTCAAAGTGCTTCCTGTCCTCATCCGTCTTCCTTTTCGGGGTCTTCCGCGCCGGATGGTTTTCCTCCCTGCTGATCTGTTTTCCTTGTTGTGCTCGTTCTTCTCTGTTATCCTCCTTTTCCTCCTCCTTTTCCAATATCGTCTCAGTCCATCATCGTGCAACGTGCCGAACGTGACATAAAGTAACGCGCGTTTGGTTTGGTTTGGGATGGCAGCCAAGAAGATGATGGGCCTGGTGAGCGCCTCGTCGTCCTCTTCCTCCATTGGCCTGAGAAGCAAGAAGAGCAAAAGGAAGTTGTTCAGCGCCGACATCTCCTCCCCCATGGCCGTCCCCGCGCACCCGGTACCCGCGCAAGCCTTTCACTCCACACGCGCGGCGTTCATCAACACGTTACGCGCCAGACACCGCATGTTACGGTCCACCGCCTGTGGACTTGGATGACTCTTCTCGTTTCCCCGAATAGAGCCAATGCACATATTTGAATTGACAAATATCTCGCACCACCCACATCATCATAAATATTTGAGGGGGGGAAAAAAAACCAAAGCCACGTGAATTTGTGTTCTTTTTGTGCTCTTACGTTGAAGAGTTTGCTTGCTTGTCGTTCCAGATGGTCGGTACCAGCCTGGTGACTCAGGACAAACAAAGCGATCATCTCATCATCAAAAGACGACTTCGCTCCAGAATTGGCAACTAACACACACACATGCACACGTTTGTATACTTGTTCATGTTCTGTTTGTGTGCGTCAAGCCACCATAATGCCATTGTTTGCGCTTGACCAAGTTGCGCCCCATGTTGTCGGTCTTGCCTCGCTCGCCACAAGGACTGCTGGCGTGCTAGCCATCCGGAGGAGCGCGGCGACGTTCGTACCACCGGGTGCGCACATGTCTTGCTGTCTTTCTGCTAAGCTAGGCTAAGCTAATGTTGCAACGAGAGGAACCTCATGGAGGGCATTTCGATTTGATCACTGTCTGACCGTTGACGCTAACTAGCCCGTTCACTTTATTTCATTGTTGATGTGCAATTTGACTCGTTGTTTGAGCGCTAAACGATGCTAACTCATTAGCGGTTTTGGTTTTCATGGCATCACTGGATGGTTGTGCACTTTAAACACTTCCGGTTTGTCTTTGAAGAACGCTTGGTTTGAGGATTAAAATGTTCGGATGGTTTAAAATTCACCTCTTGGCTCCTCCTTTGACTCTTGTGTTCTCGTGCGCGTCTAGCAGCCGCGAAAGTAAGAGAATCCAGTGAGTGTTTGCGTTTTTCACACCTGAAGAAATGGAATTAGTCGAGACCTTTGATAGGTAAACAAAGAACGGGCTTAAGCTCCGAATAAATGCTCAGAGGGGATCCCCACGCCGACGGGCTGGAAATAAGAGTTACCAGTCAGGGTCATGTTGAATTGTGTACTCGTATGGCCCTTTTCCAGGATCGCAGCAGTTCGTTCTTTTTCCACCACCGCAATAGCAGATGCTAATAGTCCATTATGATTATGAATAGCGCAGGCGCTCTTGAGTAAACGTCGACGTAAGCGGTGATGTTTTAATGCTTTACGATGATGTCATGACATCGCTCCTACTTGGCTCTTTGGCGGTGGAAAGCACCAACTAAGCCTGGCGCATGTGGGCGTGCACGGACAGGATGATTCCTTGCCATTTAGACGTTTGTTGTTTGAGTGTTACAGGACACCAAAAAAAAAAAAAAAATTGTTTTTATTGATTAGATTTTTCAAATGAATTGGACCGATTGATAGAGAATGGGATTTTTTTTGATTTTTTTAATGTTTTTGCCAAACATCGGAATCCAGCGGTGGCCTCGTTTAACTTAGCCCAGGTCACATCAAACTTGAGCTGGGCGGGCAAGGTTGCGCCAAAACTTTTGTTGCAACTGTACTCGTTTTTGTCACGGTCGAAATAGGAGAAGGAATAGCACCAGTTGTCACTTTTTGGACGTGTTTTACTACGAGACGTCGTAAAAGTTGGGGCACTCAAATGATTGGAGATTTTCTTCACCTTTTTATTATTGGAGCAGGGAAATAAGATTCAAGTCATCTTACATATATACACACACACACACACACACAGTGCGGCTTGTACATTAAATCGGTAGGAAAGAAGTGTCGGACGATGATTAGTGCTGGTTGACCTTGTTTTGAACAATTCAGTACATTTTACAGTTTAGGAACAGGACATCGTTTTGAGCTGAGTGTATTGGACCAAAAGAATACAAAAAAACGACTTTTTGGGGACGGTAGCTCCCTTTTGCCTTTTTTGCTTTTTTTTTGAAAGGGGAAAAAGACGAGCATGTAGGCAAGGAGTCCCAAGTTGGTCGTCATCTTCACGCGTTGTCCAAATGACAATCGGCGGTCGTCAGGTGACGGGCAGCGGGTGGGCGCGGGGGCCCAGCGGCCGAGCGCGCACCATCTTGAGCGCCTCGTGCACGCCGGCCGCCGACAGCTTGCGGTTGATGTTGCGGAAGCGGCAGCGCAGCAGGTTGGCGTAGGTGGCGCGCAGGTCGCGGTTGAAGAAGGCGTAGATGAAAGGGTTGATGAGCGAGTTGGCGTAGCCCAGCCACAGCAGCGTGCGCTCCAGCCACAGCGGCACGCAGCCGCACGCCGCCGCCCCCCCGCACGCGAAAGGCCGCGCCGTGGATAGCAGGAAGAAAGGCAGCCAGCACACGCTGAAGGCGCCCACCACCAGGCCCAGCGTGGCCGCCGCCTTCTGCTCACGCTTGAAGATGGAACCCTGGTTCTTCCTCGTGCGCCGCGGCGGCGGCGGCTGCTGATGATCATCATCATGGTGATGGTGATGGTGATGATGATGATGATGATGGTGATCGTGATGCTGGAGGTTCGTCTTGGGGAAACCGGGAATGAAAAACAAGGTGGTCGTTTATTTCATTTGTGTTCTGTGACAGGAAATTTGACACGGCACAGAGATGACTCCCAAAACGACCGAGCCTCCAAAATGGAGCCAAATCCACCGGGTAGTCGACACCTTGCCTGTGGTCGGACCTCTTTGCAAGTTGTTAGGTTTTGTTTTCTTCACCGTATGATGCCCAATCTGGATTTTTGGTTCAAATCCGATTGTTTCATGTACTCATTACAAAAGCAGACGCGACTTGTAATGCGAACGAAGTGACAAAACGTGACGCCAGTTGGGAAGGACGTGCGGCATCCTTTTGGAGCCACCGCCTGTTTTCTGCTCCTTTATTTGCCGTTTGTCGCTTTTTGATGCCATACTGTAAAGGTCATCACCTGAGTCTCCAACCATCGACTTGCACAGTATACGAATGGACTAACGAAGCCGCTGACATGCCGTCAGGAGACGCAAAGCCATCGGGGGGCCATCTTACGTTGCCACTCATTCGTCAAGCCAATCGGAATTGACCAGCGGTGTGTCCAGAGGCTTTCAAAGTTTTAGCCGAGGGGCGGGCCACGTGAGAAGGATTCCTCACCTCCTCGTCGTCCTCATCCTCCTCGGTGTCCTTGACGCTGGCCGAGTCGGCGGACGCGTGGTCGTCTCGCAGGGGGAAGGCGGCGACGGCATGCTTGGCGGCGCTGATCTTGGCGGCGCGGTAGATGCGCGAGTAGGTGAAGAGCATGACGGACACGGGGATGTAGAAGGCCACGGCGGTGGAGTAGACGGTGTAGCCCCGGTCCTGGCTGATGAGGCAGACGCGGCCGTCGTTGACATTCTTGGCCCAGCCGAAGAGCGGCGGCAGCGTGATGGACGCAGACAGCAGCCACACCCACGCGATCATCTTGGCCATGCAGCGGCCGTCCTGCCGCATCGGGTACGTCAGCGGCTTGGTGATGCCCAGGTACCTGAATGCCGCAAAAATAGCCCGGCGTCAGCCACCACTTCCGTCACAAGGTCGCTGAAAGTTCCACCATGCACACACACACACCTTCTTTGTCAATTTCACACTTTTTGATGTCCTTTTATCGGGTCTCCAAGAACATTTGGCTGCCAAACAGCCCAAAAGCCGATTTTCAAGCGACTTGCCTTTCGTTTTAACCCTCATCCAGTGACTCATGTGAAGTGGGTTGCTCGCGAATATTGCAAATGTAAATAAGCGTGGCTCTGATCCCTTCAAATAGAAGATGCCAACAAGCTTGTCTTGCTCGTCTTGTGTTTTGGACGGCGGCAAACTCGTGGCAAGCGTTGGCGCGGCACTCATTTACCTGTCGATGCTGATGGCGCACAGGGTGAGGATGGAGGCGGTGCAGCACATGACGTCCATGGCGACGAAGACGTTGCAGAACCAGCGTCCGAAGCGCCAGCGCCCGCCGGTCAAGTCGGTGACGCTGACGAAGGGCATGACGGCCACGGCCACGCTCAGGTCGGCGGCGGCCAGAGACACGATCAGGTAGTTGGCGGGCTGCCGTAACTTCTTGACGGCGCACACGGACACCACCACCAGCAGGTTGCCCCCAATGGTGCCCAGCGTCATCAGCGTCAGCACCGAGCCGAGCAGCAGCTTGCCGGCGCGCCCGTGGCTCGCCGTCGTCAGCGGCGCACAGCCGCTGCCGTTGCTCGGCTCGCCCG